CGTATATATTACCGTCTCAGGCTTTTTAAATAAACCAACTTTTTTTTCATCAATTAATCTGGCTCAGTGTCATTCAGTCATCTCCAGCTTTTAGAATAGTCTGACTGATTAAATGTCATGAGACAGTATATAAGCTATCAAACGTTTGATATTAACTATTTTTAGAGGATTCTCGTGACCGTGAGCGTCGTGAGCGAAGAGAAAAGAGAGAAAATCCTGAAGAGGAAGAAGACCGTGAAAAAATTCGTGAAAATAAAGACAAGGAGAAAGAGCTTGAAGCCATAAAAGTAAGGCAATGTGTAGTATCTATTACATTATGTGAATTCACATTAAGACTGGTTCAGTGGGGTGTATTATAGTATGACACCAAATACATTTATGGACCCAATTCCTTAAAAAAAAAAAATTAAGTCCTAATAAATTTTTTTTGACCTTGCTTCTTTTATAATAAAATGGTGCCTCCTTATTTGAAAAAGCTAACTGAATGTGCTTGATATTCAAGTACTTTAGTATATCTTAATGAGCTTTCAGAATTTAACTTTTTTTTTCTGACAGATTTCTTTTAGTCCAGTTGCTGCTTTATATTCATCTTAGGTTCATTGAAAGAATTTTGAAAAGAAAATTTCAAAAATGTAATGTTGCAATAATTTTGTATTAATTGGAGCTTTGTTTTATCCAATAAAGAATCACTAGCTTCATATAGCATTCTATTATTATTGGCCATTATATGACTGCAGTTTAGAGACATGTAAAAAACATTCAGTAATTTTTTTTATTTGCATCAGTTATTATTCATCAGGTTTCCCACAGGTTCTTGCATTGAAATTGAATTGTAAAAATTTCAGTGTTGGAAATCCTTAAAATATAGCTGTTTTTAACTCCTGGTCCAAAAATTTCATTGAAAAATCACCACTTAAATAATCGTAATCTGTTCATTAAAAGCCTTGTGAGACCTGAGACTGTTCCTATTTCCAATGGTGCTCGTGTTTGATGAACAAAAATGCCAAAATTTGAGATCCTTCAAATTTGAGTATGGGTCTTGGAATTACCAAGATTTGTTTGTTGTTAAACACACAGCAACACAGTGGGCTATCTGTGCTGTACCCACCATGAGTACTTAAACCAAGTTTTTAGTATGAGTCATCAGACTAACTGCATATTGACTGGGGAGCAACTACCAATGAACAAAAAATTTTTTTTAACAAACTTAACAACTGAGCAGAGAGAATTAATAACAAAAGGTTTGTCTGTTTTCAGTTTTCAGCAGAAAACCACACACTAGACTATCTGTGCTTTGTCTGCCATTGAGTATTACACAATGGAATTTTAGCATTATAAGTCCATAAATTAATCACTGACTCACTGGAAGACATAACAAAAGGAAACAAAGGTTAAGGTACATTAACATACATATATGCTTTAATGTTAGCTTTTGAGATAGGCCATAATCTATCCAGATTACAAATAATAAAAACTTGCAGCTTTTATTCTATAAAAGTATTGCATGTAAACAAACATAAACAAAGAAAAAATTTGGAAGCTTTAAAAAAGAATCAAAAGAATTAAACTTCATCATAAATAAGATATCAGGAGCACTATTATACTTGAATTAAGTTATTTACATTAAAAAATAAAACCAAGTGGAGCTAGTATCATTAAATGAGATCATTTGATTGGATGTATGTTATATTGAATTTAAATGTATTTGTACTTGGAATATTGTACATAATTATATCTCAACTTTAGAGAAGAAATGCTACACTCAAAAAGTAAATGTAATATTCCTACCAAAAGCTGTTTGAAGAACTTTATATATGTTCAATAATTAAGTGGGTATTTCTTAAAAAGAAAGTATTAGTGTAATAAACAGTTCATGTTTGAGTTGCAATGTGGTCTTCAGCATGTGTCTGCTATAGACATCACAATCTTGTCGAAACACAAACTGGGTACTGCATTTCATTCAGGTTTATTTTTATGTATAACCCATGTACAGTGATTTAACTTTTTTATTGCCTTATACATACAGTGATGCACTGCACATGAAACTTGAGATCATATATGTTCTATGCCATATTAGAAATATACTTAACTTGAATACCAATGAGAGAAAACAATTTTGAGATCATCCATTGTTATCGCATTCATACATCTTATTGATAACAAGGTATGAAGCCATTTTAAACTGTGAGATTTGTCATGAAATATTTCTATCCTGTGCATAAATTCAGCTGAAACCATTGTATGGCTGAAAATCAAGTATCTAGTATATGCAATATGTCATTAAGATATGTTATTATCATTTAGAAGTCTCCTTCAATCATATAAATCCTAACATATACATAAACATTATTTTTGTTGTGTTTTTTTTTTTTGTAGCAAAGGCTCTAAACTTGATGTGGAAGTTTTAGCTTTTAGTAATTACTGGTTTTATATTTCATAATCAGTGAATCTGAAATTGATATATTTGTATAGATAACTTGTTTTTTTTATAACCATGTATATTGGTTTTAGGAACGTTATCTAGGACTTATGAAGAAAAAGAGACGTGTTAGACGACTCAATGATAGGAAATTTGTTTTTGATTGGGATGCTTCTGAAGACACAGCTGTGGACTACAATCCTATCTACAAAGAGAGGCATGGCATTCAGTTTTTTGGTCGTGGACATGTAGCTGGTATAGATTTAAAGGTAGAAATTGTTTTAAATACACACAGTGAAGTTTTTCTCATGTAATACATCGCATAAAAACATACTCACTGAAAATTGTATTGGTAATTATTTACTATTTTTCTGTATTTTACATTGTCGTATTTAAATGCTTTTTTGTTGTGTTTCCTAGAATTCATCAAATTTTAAGTTCATTGGTTCCATCCTACAGCTTTTAGCATGTGCTTTTTCTATTAAGTAAATATAATCTTTTTTTTTAATCAAATTTCCAGGCTCAGAAAAAAGAACAGTGCAAGTTTTATGGAGATCTGTTAGAGAAACGAAGAACAGTGGCTGAAAAAGAGCAAGAAGCGTAAGTTTTAAGTGCTGTTAATTAACCCTATTGCCCAGATACCCTTTACTGTGAATGACAAGATTTTAGTGTCTTAAAATCAAAATTTTATTAAACTACTATATGTTTATGTTATACCAATTAGAATAGCATAAAATCTTAGCTAATAATCTATATTTTAATAGTGTACAAGTTTTAAGTTCTTAATTCTATAAGGCAATATTTAAAAAAATCCTGAATTTCCACTAGTGTGACCCACATGACACATTTTGTGTTA